TCCAAATTTCTATAATAACAAAGAGAAAAATATTGGTAAAGGATAACGCAGTTTTGAAAGGATAAAGCAGTAGCTTGTGAATTTATTCAAGGGAAAATGTAGGAGTTGCAAAATATTTGAAGTGTAAATAAAGCAAGAAGTAGCGTAAACAAATGCCTTCAGAAAATGTTAATCATGTAAGTGCTTAATAAAGTCTTTTATGATTCCTCTTTCCACCTTTGATAGTATAATTTTACCAACCTTTTTTGCTATCATATTATAGCCCTCCAAACTGATGTCCAATTTTCTATTTCATACTTTCATGCATTTTACAGCCATCACTTTATACTCAAAGCTAGATTTAATGCTTTCATGTAAAAGAGTGCTATTAAGAAAGTTTACTACGCACGTAGTGTGAATGCACATTGTCAGTCTAGAGAAAACATCGTTTTGACAATCTTACTGTCTTCGGAAAGAATCTGATGCTTCTCTTAATCAATGCTTTGATTTTTTCACCAACCACCTATCGCTTATCTCCTATATGCACATGAATGACATTTTTATTATATTTATTTTTTTAGGATCTTGATGGAACGCATTGCAATTGCGAAAGTTGTTTAGCCGTACTGCTTTGGTAAGTATTTTTCTTTTGTATTTCCTTAAACATACTTGTGCGTATAAGGTCAGTGTTTGCCTAGAACATCCTTTTTATGAATCATTTGTTAATAAAAAAGAAGAACATTCATACTCCTGAAAGCAAACCATCGCAAACCTATCATTGTTGTTACGTAATTATCCAGTTTCGGGGATACGTTGTCGAATTCCCATTTAGTTGTGTCCATCTTGTCTGCAGTAAGGCCTAAAATGAATTTCACTTTTTCCATTTACAAAACTTCTTTAGCTGTTTTCTTCTTTAAGTCCTCTAGACCACTGAAATGCTTCGTTGCCAATTTTTCCAGGACTTTTTAAGTTAGGTTCCATGAAAAAGATTAGTAGACCGGAATTAAATGAAATTGCCACTAAACGGTCGTATAATAAACCACCAGTAACGCAAATATGCAGAGAGACAGTTTCTTTAACGCCTCTTTGCTTTATGTCTCACTGGCTCAAACGATTGCTTATGGCTCACCTTTTGGCGTTTTCAGCAACATAGTAGACAGTCGTATAGGTCCCGTGCCAATCTCGCGAACAACCACATATCTTTAATATTTCTTTTTCCTGTTTCATCAATCATGAATGATACTTATTCTGAGCTTACTTTTCTCCACCTTCGATGTTATCGAATATGTCGACGCATGAGCCATCTAGGAGACATACAGAACGTTCCCTAACAAACACATCTAAAGATTAGTGCAGCTGTTCATGTTTATTTTAAGAAATTTCACTGAGGGATTCTTTTTCTAGTAGGTTGCCGAACACTATACTTACAACATTTTCTGCGATCCATATTTCTCGGTAAACAGGTCGATCAATTGTTTTCCACCTACTTTCTCATCCTCCTGCT